CCTGCCTGTATACCAAATTTCAATCAACATTCGTTCAGTAGTTTCAGCATGATTGACGGACAAACATCCAAACAAAGAATCTTTTTAATATTATTATTTAGGTAATAGTCTGATAGTGAGTAAGTAATAAAACGATTATTTTTCATTGGGTAAAACAGTTTTTGCTTTCTGTATATCATACTACGATCGGTTACAGCTACAAAGTTTATTGCTGACCTGCGGGCTTAGAATATACCTAGAAATGTAGATTCGAAGTCAGACTATTTACAAGCCGACTCAAGAAATGAACTCCACTACTAGTGTTCGCTTCTCTACAGGATATAGGTAAGGTCCTAATAACAAAGCTGAAGATAATTCAAGCCTTGGTCTTCAAAGCACAATTAAGCATGACAATGACAAAGAAGTCATGGGTAACTGAAATAAAAGCCAGGTAGGAATGCACAGCCTAAAAATGTAACTAGATATGCATAAATACATACATTAACAGCCTATAAATGCCCACTGCTGAGCAAAGCCTCTTCTCACACGGAGAAGGTTTGAGCATTAATCACCATGCTTGCTCAAAGCGGGTTGGGAATTAGATATATGAATTAGCTTTTATAACACATGCTATACATTTTACACCTTATCTTCAAGTACTATGCTAAATTAATGTTCTTCAAAAGTGGACGTTCTCGGTGCGGTATTGATTATAGAAACCTTATGTCGGTAATCCTCTACGTAGGTAGCATGCGTCGTGTTTTGTTTTTGTTTTGTGAGACGGCATCAAGCAATGTTGCTGTATCCTTTGGGAATTTTCCTGTCATTTAGATTTTTCTTGCGTAATGGACAAATATGTCCCATACGGCTTTTTGTGTACGGTCTCTTACGGAATATACCTCTATAACTTACGTTGTTGATTTTAATGTTGAAAAAATATCTGTTGAGTTACAATTTTTTAAGTAAGGAAGGTACTTCTATCGTCGGCTACTCATAGCGGTATGCGGTTAGTTATAAAAACGAATGACTACAGACGTTACAGTAAGTTTTGAAAAGCATGAATTTATTGCAAGAAGAAAATCCGAACAAAATATAAGCAAAACGTAAGAAAAAGGTATTTTATGATTTTATGAATACTGAATGTTTAGTATCTACCAAATAAATAATTCATTTACTAAGCATCGAAATAAATACATGAATTCGATACACAGATAAAAATCAACAACATAACAAAACGCATTCATCCATATCCGGCTTCCGAACTCCCAATTATTATCAGTTGAAGAAAGAAGGAAAGAAAAAAAAACAAATTAATTATGGCCGCCAAAAGATTAAAAAAGCAACTAGCCATAAAATTCTGAGGGATGGCAATAATAAAAAAAAGACGAAAAAAAGAATTCAAAAAACGAATGCCCAGCTGCCATCGTTACGCTGAACGCATCTATCGCTAGAGGGAGATAACATTACAAGAATACTAAAGACGAGAGAAAGAGATGGAAATATGGATTAAAATTGGAAGTGGGATTAATTTTATTGGAGAGTAAAACATATATTGCGTTTAATAGGTCCCAAGTCGTTGATGTGTAGGTATAGATTTTATGATTATTGTTTATTGTTGAAATAATATTATCCATTTATTGATCCTGCCCACGAATAAGTACCAAATACGTAAGTATATTGTAGATATAAAATGTCTAAAAGGCAGGGAGAGAAAATTTTCTCTACTTGAAGAATTGGTAAGTGACTTTCGAAACTTTAACTGAAATAATATTTTAACTTATTCAACAAAACAAGAATTATTGAGTATAGTTCGTCATTATAGTCATAATATCTGTCACAATATGTCCTTTGCCTCACATGGATCCCCAATTACTTCCAGGACGACCGGTTGAAAGCGACCTGTATTTAGCACCTTTATTCATCATCAGGGTCATCTGTCCACTTTCTGGGTGGCCTTCTAGGGCTACATTTACCAGAATTATAATTCATAAGATATCCTAAATGAAAATGAAGTGTAGTCCAGAATTGACACGGCAATAAATCAAAACAAAAAACTGTGTCCTCGCATATTTTTTGCACGATAACGTAGTGATTGTAACTCTCACTTTATGAGGTCTATTGACAGCTTATTCTAGCAAACAAATAAAAACGGTCTCCTATCGTTATCTGTCATAAAAGAACTGCTAAAAAAACTAGTTTCTTTTTCAAGAAAATTGTAAGAAGAAGTGCTACCTGAAAGACAAACGCTAAAATATCGCAGCATATTTCCTGGTACAACCCTTTTTGGGATTAGGAACCCATTTTTTATAAATCAACACTACGTCAGTACATGGAGAGTACTTTTTGAAATCCTTTTACTTATTTTTACTTGAGTTATTTCAGAAAAAGAAAACAAATGGCTGACAAAAAAAAAAACGCTGAGGATTAAAAAAAGGTTTAGTAATTTTTAACTTCACAAATCTGTGCAGTGATATTTTATTGGAGAATTTATTTGTTGACCGATTTACCAAGATTTTTAGTCGTATATTACGGTAAAATATATAATATACTATGAAAAAAATTTATAAGACCTATGACCGAACCTTGTGGAACGCCACAAATTATACACATTTTTTCTTAGGAAAGACTAACAACACAATTTCGAAGTATTTCTAATATTCTATTTATATATTATAACAAGTTATTATGGGTAAAAATGTTGAGATAATTATATTTTTTACGATATTTTTAGTGTACAACCGTTGCGAACGCCCGCGTCGGTATCAAAACCATACTTCTAAAAAGCGAAGGGAGGTTAATCCGGATCCCGAGATGCCTCCCTTTTGAATTAAAAATGTCGTTCCATTTTCTTTTTTTGAAAATTTAAATCTCTGTTGTGATCGGTCAGTTTTTTCAAGCGATGATATTTTTTTAACTGTTTGAAATATCTTTTCTAAGAAAAAAGTTTTCTAGAATAGAAAATAGAATGGTTTGAAAAAGGTCAAATGACAATATTTATAATATTCTTAGAAGTAGATAATAGGAAAGACATAAATGTAAGAAGCATGATTACATCAATTTATATCTACACCACAATGAAAGAAATGAATGAAAATACTCTTCATTTTGTACTTACATCCATCTTTTTCTTTATTTACCGTTTCATCTACCTTCAAAGATTATCTATTACTGTCTACATGAAAAGACAAAACGATACTTGTTAGCTTTCAACTTTTATCCGTTAAAACCAACACACATACGTTTATCTCTTCGAATAAAAATAAAACATCTAAAACCTCTACAACCGACCGAAAAAGGGTCTAAAAACACAACACGCTAAATGTTGCCATGTGGGAGATAAGCGGCTTACAGGGGAGAGAGGGCCTGTTTTGATTATTTCGCAAGGATGTCTTCTTGGTACGTAAATTATGCAGCGTTCCTTCCTAGCTGTTGTTTGAAGAATGGGCTTGTCTGTCAAACTGTACTTGTTTGTGTATATAAAATTTGAAATTTTCCTCAGATAGGCAGCCCTGCTGTTGCGGTAATTACTTTAGTTTATGCAATACTATACCTAAAGGTTTACCAAATAAAGTATAATTTGAGAAACTTTTTGTAAGTTAAAAAACTGACGAAATAAGACCGGGTTGAGGTTAAATACTTAACTTAAAGATACTTAAATAACAAAGCAGTGCTTCGTTGATAGATTGCCACATATATTTTACAAGAAGTTGAACATTAAACTTTAAGAATCAGAAGTCGAAAATGCAAATGTTGTAGAATATTTTACGCGTTCTGTCAAAATATACAAATTGTGATCATTAGTTTGACAAATGGAGTAGGTAGTGCCTTTGTGTCAACAAAGTTTAAGTGAACACCAACATAAATTCGAAATGTGTTCCATAAGTTCCATTACTTGATTTTAAGACCGAAATATGTTGATATTTCTTTGTTTAAATATTAAAGTAGGTAAATTGTTAGTTTCGAAACTTTAATAGGTAACTGTTTCTGTGGCAATTGAGAATATTCCTACATTTTGACAAATGTAAATATCTGGTTTTCTCTTTTTTACCAGCGTGAAAATGGAAAAATACAGATACATTACATGAGAGAATGAATAAAAAGAGTATCTATCTCATTAGAAACACCGTTGGGCATAAAAAGCTCGTGATAAATTACAAAATGAAATCCCGAGTGAAATTCATTTTGTCGCCATATTGGAATTTGTGACAAACAACGATTCTGTTTTCCGCCATCGTGATTTTTTCATTTTGTTTTCTTTTGTTTTTTTTTTGTTGTTATTATTAATGTCATTAGGTACTGTTAGAAAAGGTATATAAGAAGTATATTTCGTAAATGCTATGAGAATTGTTTAGCGGTTGAAACATTTATTATATAGTGGAGCAATACTTTTGTAAAGCTTAAAGTCATTTTTCTGACTTTTAGTCTATAAACCCATGTTTCTAGAGGTATACCACCAATACTCTTTACGTACCTAAGAAAGAGTCTAACGAATCCTTTGCGCTTTGGTTATCCGCTGACCTCTAATCTTCCCTAGGCTTAGAAGTATTTTGAATACAATTTTCAAAGTCTATTTATAATATTACCACACCATTCCTAACCGACTTAGCTTCGTCTAACACAAGTCTAAAGATTTAACGTCATCTTTTGAGTCCTTCACATTTCCAGTAAATATTTTTAAACACATGAAGTAACAAAGTCGTCGTTTCAAAAATATCTAATTAAAACTATAAATTAATCAGAAACTTTAAAAAAATTGATTGAGAAGTCACATTTATGAGTGTTTAGACTAAGCTGTCATATATTTTAATGATATTAATTTAGAATTGATTGCTGTTTAACGGATACGATTTTTAATTGCATTGCAAAATATTTAAGCTTACGTGTTGAAGGAATTTAGGCGTAGAAACTTAAGACATAGAATAGAATCACTTTGAATATTGGATATCAATAGTTATAGCCTAAAGTTTAAGGTACAACAGTTGCTTTTTTTCAAAATTTGAATGGAAATAAAAAAATCTTACCTTGTGGAAATCCAACAGCTTCTAAACCATGTGGGGTTAGGCCAAACGGCCCTAATCCTCCTAAAGGGCCTGGGCCCATTCCCATGTGATGCGCACCCGAGTGGTGGGCATAAGGATTCTGTGCCAACGGAGATGGCTGCTTCAAGTAATGGAAGTAGTGGTGAAGAGGCGTCGCCGAATGGGCCTGAGGTGCCGTCGGCCCGCCGGCCGCCGGTCCTGTCGCCGACGCCGAATTCGTCAGCAACGCCATCTTAACTTTTTTCTTTTTTTATAGCCAAAAGTATTTAGTCACCGCATCAACCTCTTTCGTGTGTGTATTGACATTTTTGCGGTTTTCTTGTCGCGTTTGGTTAGTCTCTGGTTGGTGACATTTTTTTTGCTGTTTTTGTTATCTGAAACAAAAGATTGAAATTGTTAGATGCCGTAAATATCTATCTACTTATAGTCATGTGACAATCGGCCGTTATTACCTAAATATATAGTGTTATACCTGTGTATATTATTATATTCATGCTTTCAATTTTTTGCGCAACATAAATTTAATAAAAGATAAATTGGAATATGATGAGAGTCAATACATCTCCAATTTGTTCGCGCAACTGAACTTTAAACGTAGCAATTATTTACGGCTCATACGTTCATAAATAAACAGTTTACGCACGTCTTTTTGAATTATAACTAACGCCGATTGATTTTTTTGCTACAAACTACTTATTTTACAATTACACATGACAATGGTAGATTTTCTGCACTATTGCAACACTAAAAACGTTAAAGTCAAACGTGGAACGCCTTCAAAATTTGCTATTTGAATGAGCCTCGAGCGTTCCATTCGTCACGATTCGGGCGTTCTGAATTCAAACGTGTAGGGTTTTTTTAACTTCATTGAAAAGGTTTGAACGGAACTGATTCGTTCTTTGGTTTGCGAATAAAGAATGGTTTTATTTGGTGATCGAAAATAAAAAGGTTGAATTTAATTTTAGATAGGAGAAGAGTAGCATTTCGAACACCCACGTCTTGGTATGTGAACTATTTTGACGAAAACATAACATACTTTTAAAGATTTATTTTGGTAGAAGTTCTTGTTATAAAATAGGTAAAAATAACTGGAATGAAAAATAAAGAGGAATAACTAATAATATCAGACACGAGTGTTGAGAAAAAAAAATCATACATGCATTGACCGTGTACCTTTCCAAAGAGCAAAATTCTTTTTTTTTTCTAATGTTGGCAAAGGTGTAGTGTAGGTACATGTTTACTGACATTTTGTCACGTTTATTTTTTTTTGTGGCTGTTACCTGAGTTGCTTTTGCCAAATTGAGGGGGCTATCACGTGTAGCCTTTGTGTTTTGAAAAAAAAATCACAAGGCGTATCAATGTGATGACATTTGAGAAGAAAAAGTGTATGATATATCTATGGTGCTGGTTGTAAGATTTTGAAAAAAAAAACTAATAATTTTGGGAGTAATTATGAACTGTGCATATTAATTTTGAATGAATCGTTCTGTCTGTCTGAAACCTCTTTAGGTAAGTTGATGTCAATTTCGAAGGTAGACTGTAAAATTAGATCATGTCAAACCAACGACTGCTGCGTTCTTAAAGAACTTTGGGTAACAAATCTTGGATATATCTTTACCTATAGATTGTTCAAACTGATACTAGATTAATAAAGGGATTATGTAAGTTGATTAATAATATCCAATTTAAGTCATATTTTAAATTTAATTCGATTTTAGTAATGTGTTCACAGATATGTAGAGGAGACATAGGTAGTGCTTACAATTACAAGACAATATTATGTTGCCAACAAAGGGCCTAGTGCAAGTTTGTTTTATGACCAATCTATGACGTTCGGCGCTCTGATTGGCCTGCTCGAATTAACGAGCCAATCAGAAGGCAAAATGTCGTAACGTTTCAATTGCGTTAATGTAAAAAAAAGTCGCATTAGGCCCTCTGAAGATGATGACGATGACGATGAACAAAGTGACGTCAACTCTCAATTTTACTTGAAATAACAATTTACGATCATTTGACCAATATTATCTTTGACGGTAAGCAAAAAAATATTAGTTTGCATAGTAAAAGTGAAAGAAAAAACTAAACATTGTCACTTTTAACGCTGTAACCGGCAGTGGTTCGCAGAAACCGCTCTGTTCATGCTACATAATCTATCAACAAAAGATTATCCTAAGCCCCATAGATGTGTATCTACAAAACACGCTCTAATATTACAAATGCAACTCTATATTAACTAGAGTAGAGTAGAAATTTGTCCAATATTATTCGAGGTTTCGTAAAGGATTTCCGTTCAAATAACTCGCCATAGTTTTGCCGACCAGACCCTTAAAAGGTGTTCAATTGTATAACTTAATGTAGATTTTGTAAGACTTTTCGAGTCCCAAAAGTCGGTGGCTCTGAAGAGTTTTCACGTCAACGATTTTTTGACAATTACGTTCTCTTTGCAAGAGTAAATACGCAGTTTTTTTTAGATTACGTTCGCAGAAGTTTCTCTCGTTTTAACAAAAGCAGACCGCAATGCGAAAAAACTTTGGTTTTACCAAGTACAAAATTGGAATGCGACAGTTTGCGTGAACCACACGTAGTGTTGAGAAAGAAAAAGTTTTTTTTGTAAATAGACCACCTCAATAATGAACGTTGCCTACTTCATCACTACATAGTACAAAACAAACTCGCTATCCGCCGTCTATCTGTCCCTATGTACTTATGTTTAGATCTTTAAAACTACGCAACGGAATTTGATGCGGTTTTTTTAATAGATAGAGTGATTTTTAAGGAAGTTAATGTATTACATGCATATTACACCCGTGCGAAGCCGGGGTGGGTCGCTTGTTTGTAATAAAAACTGATGGTACAACATTATAATATTCAAAAACGCTAATATCGGCATTGCAAAACCAAATGAAATAAAATCACAAAAGCATCATTTAAAATACGGTGTCAATCTCTGTAAATCTATTTGTCAAAGCGCAATAAACGCCATAAATAATAACAGTGCAAACATCGTACATATTGTGTGAAGGAAAACAAACATTAGCGCCCTCGTTTTGTTTGCGCAGTTGGCAGCTCTGGTTGTCAGTGTGACAAATTGAGAAAGCGCGCGCACAGAGGGTCAAAAGTCACAGATAATTTAGAAAAAAAAAAAGATTTCAAACATTCTGGCCATTTTTTGATGTGTCGGTCGGTAACATAAGTCAAATGTATTTTACAATATTTCTTCATCAATAACAGATGCGGCTTTCGTCGTTATTGTGTTCTATGCTAATTTCAACACATATACCAGTCAGTTGGGTTTCTTATTTCTAAAATTTCTCATGTCACTAGTGTTTTTTAATATACATTGCATGATTAATGTCTTCATTTTGAAACCTATGGAATGGTAAAATAATTTACTGTTTAAAATTTTATATCTATCACTAGAAGTCTTACGAACATTCAGTCCACTAACTTTTCTGTGGCATAATGTATCGATAGTTATTAATTTTACATAACAGCTTGATATACGAGTATTCTTCGTTATAAAGCATATATTTTTATATTCCGTATCTTAAGGCTACGTATCATTTGTTTGTTATCTCCCCCTCCCCCAAGACATCTAACATCCCAATAACTATCTTTAAATAGACCGCTTCATGGCCCCTCCACCCAAGGTGCAGAACCACGATGATATTTTGACAAAGACATTAATAGTATGGCGTGATAATTGCCCGTCAGGGGCGCCTATTGTGACAAATTTCGCGCATCGGAACACACTATTAACTATTTCTATGGAATATATGTATTTTTTTTTCTGGCAACCCTGGGGTTTTGTGTAGACCACAATGCTGTCGGCACTTTTTGTTGGTTGTGTCTGGATTCTACTTTATCTATATTTTCTAGAATTTGTACGAAAAGTGATGTGAAGGGGGAAATGGTTGCTTCGTTTGTGTATTTGTTTTTAGTTTTAGGTGTTCATTTCAACTTTAATTATGATCATTTGTATCGTATGAAGTAATTTAAGTAATATTTTAGTCCACAGATTGAGGTGGCACATCCGTTTATGACATAGGGTCATATGAATAACCCAATGGAAAACAGTTACCGGGTAGCCTATGGACGGACGCCTGAAACTTCAGAGACATCGCTACGCGTCACTCGTACATAGCCAGACTTTTTAGGAATCAAGTTATTGTGAATTTTACCTAAGAAGTAAGTACCTATAGTAATAAAATATTAGAGATTTTTTGAGTACGAAGCATGCAACTATGTACGCATTACTTTGATATTCTTGCCACAAATAAAATCAATATTATACATTATTGAAATAAGTGCATATCGCAGATAATTAAATACATATACGGAAGAAACAATGCATTGCATACCTATGTTCAATAAAATATTACGTCAAACTCTAATCTACATAGCCTTGGAACGAAAAATAATCAACAAATGACAAAGTAACGAATTAATTTCAAAAACGTAATCAAAAATCAAACGGTTTCCTTTTCAAATATTCAAAAAAAGAAGAACTTAATTTGACAGCCATATTAACGGAAATGCCACGGTAGCATCAAATATTTATTCCATGTTCCCAAAACATGAGAAAAAAAGTTAGTTGGACATGCGCATTATGGACGACGGCGTATCGTCTTCTATTGTCAAAGCTGACAGTTGCTAAACATTCCATATTTGAATGTAAGTTCGAAATTGGAACATCTTTATTGAGTTCTATATTGTTATCCATACTCTTTGATAAATGTAACACGAATGTTACTTAAAAAGAAGTTTTTATAACATTCAGATATTAATTATAGTACCGATATGAAATTTATGCAGTCCCCAAAGTGGTCACCGTGCACATACCCCATTATAGACCTTATTTCCGATGGTTGGTGACTCCTTTTTTATGAACAAATGTTGTGGATTTTTCGTACGATACCTATATCAAGTAATTAATATGATTTTTAAAATCCCAGATTTTCCTATTAGGAAAGAAATCTTCCATAAGTGCTCGCCCTAGGAATATATAAAGAACCAAAAGTTAGTTTTTTGCGTTAACTATCAAATCAGCAGATCAGTCACTTCATACAGATCATATTTAGTTACCGACAACCATAATAAGACTAAAACCGAAAACAAATAACTTGTTTTGCTAAAATTCTCGTATGATATAGACATCTAATATGAAACTAATTTATCTAATAGGCATATTTTAATCAACAGCCAAAGATTCTTCAAGATAAAAATGATTATTCTAATTCACATTATTATTTAACTTTGAAAGATATTTAGAAAAGATAATCATATCCGATCCCTATCTCGATTATCGATTAATCGATTAAATATCATAGTGCTACTCGAGATACGTAGATTTTATCGATGAAGAATTTATCTG